TTTCCATTCTTTACTTTTATAGAAACTTGTAACACAGAGAAACCTCTCTACATCTCTTGTTCAGCTTCCTCCTGATTTGTTTTGGCTCTCAGCCCCACTTCAGATGTACTCTCCTGATGAAGAAAAAGATGTGGAAAGGACATTCAGAGGTCATTTAGTCCAAGGTGGGACCTCATAAACCACGTCACTGCTGACATTCTTACAAATAATGGTGATTGTGTATCCTCCCTCACAATCTACTGGAGCAGTCAGTTGTCCCTGAGACTGAGTTTCTTCCCAGAGTCTGTATTAGATTTGTACTGCTGCAAACCCATGACCTAGAATTATCTCAACATTGGGCAAGAAGAAAAAAATATCTATTGGTTCTTTTCAACATCTTTTGATATTTGAGGATTATCATCACATCCCCCTGAGCCTTTTTGAGCAGCCCTGTTTCTTTCAGTGTTCCCTGGCAGGCTGTACCTTGTAGTGAACCCTGCTGCTCCCCTCTGAACTTGCCACAAATCCATCTCACCTACCTCAGACCAGCTACATTAACCCAGCTTCTTCTAGCCAGGGCTAATCATGGTGGAAAGACTAATTCATGCTTCCCAGCCTTTACTTCTGCTTTTAAATCCCAGCATGAAATCTGAGTTTTTCACCATAGTACAAATTGTGTTCAGCTTCTGATCCACCTACCTGTGTCTTTCCCTAAGGACTCAGCAGTTCACCACCTGTTCCATGTGTATTATTTGGCAGTTAACAGTTCTGCTTCATATTATTGCATATGGAATTGAAGACAGCAAACATTTCTTGATGAAGGAGACCCTTCTAAAGATCCCAGCTCAATAAGTGCATTTTCCTGTTAGACTGTAGATTAATATCAACTAAAGTTGTGATTTTCTATCTTTTTTATTTTTTTGGCACCAGTCTATAGAATTTGCCTCCAGACCTGATTTCCCTAACTTGTTAATGATGATGCTGCATAAGAATGAAAATCTGTATTAGAATCAAGATATATTACATCTTCTGCTTTCCTTCTCTCTACAAAATCTGTTGCTTTCTCATAGAAGAAAATTAGATTGATTTGACACAATTTGTACTTGACAAATTCCTGTTGGCTATTGTTCATCTCACTTGTTATCTTCAAGGTGCTTGCAGACAGTTTGATTATTTGTCCCAGTGTTTTTCCAGGAATTTAAGTTGAGCTGGATGGTTTGTAATTCTCTGTTTCTGTCTTTCTCTTATTCTATCTCCTTTTTCTCTGCCTCTCTTTTCCTCTACTTGCCTTCCTATTTATTAAACTAGGTATTATATTTACCCTTTCTAGTATTTTGAGGTCTCATACCTTTCTCTGAGCTCCCAAAGAGAACAGAAAACAACTTGTTTTTCTGAAATGCAGTCTCTAATTTGCAGTCTCTTTAAAAGAATTAAATACTGAGATGTAAGGACTCAGAGTATTTATCTTCATACCTCAACCATTTCCATTTCAGTTAACTAGATGCAAAGATTCATTTACATTAAGATGTCAAACCATTAAGTGAAGCAGCTGAAGCTGCTTTTTTTTCTTGTTCCACTGTTCCTGCTTCAAGGACAGTGACCTGGAACAGAGGAAGGGACTGACAAGCAGAGGGATTGTTTTACACTGTTCCTGCCATGCACATCTGAGTACAGTGTTATGAGCCCTCAGTATCATTAAATCAGTGCTGCACGTTGGCAATTTACTGCAGCTAGAGCCTCAATGAAATGGAACAACACAAAACTATTCTTGCCCTTCTGGTGACATCTGTGACTACAGTTTCCTCCCACTTACTACTGGATCAGCTCTACACTAGATTTTTCACATGATAGTAATGTATTTACAGATGTTTTCTTTTTCCTCCCTGTGGTTTTTTTCTTATTGTACCACACTTCACAGCTTGGCTTTTTAAATTTTGTCCATACGTACTTACACTGTTCTTTTATCCTTGTGCCTGATATACTGACCTAGTTTCAATTTCTTCATGGCTCCTTTTTGTGTTTGAGGTTAATGAAGAGCAGAAGATTTAGTCAAGCTGATCTCTTGCATAAGAAGAGCTTGTGATTGTGATCTTAATAGTGTTTCTGTGAGGAACTGCCAAATTTCCTTTTTTCTTTAGCCTTGTTCCTCAGGAGAACTAACCTAATAATTCTCTGAGGGCAGAGCTTTACTCAGAAGCTTTTAACTCCATTTATTCTCCATTACTTTTATTTAAAACTATCTGTCCTGCTTCAGATGAGACAAATGGGACAAGCTGTCTAAATAAAAACAGTCAGATGGAGTCCATGAATAAAATTCAGCTGTTGCCTGTGGAATAAATCTTCAACCTAAGTTTCTTCAGGTAGTCTCTGATTTTGAAATGTCAGAGTATATTTCAAAAGTAAAATAAGAAATTGTACTCCTGATGGCTGGACTTCTCAGTTTCACAAGAAGAATGTACAAATACTAACTTTCCCTTTCAGCAAGTTTGGAAAAGTCACTACTACAAGAAAGAAAGTGAAATGTTTCCCTGCTACAGAAAATAACTAATGTGACTCTGCTATTTATGTTCTACATTAAGAAATCACTATACATTTTATTCTTCCTGAAATGTGTGAATTTCTTTGAGCTTTTGTGCCTTTACAGCAGCTCTAAGGCTCCAAAGGAGATCGCCTTTTAACATTAAACACCATTATGCATCTTGTAAGCTTCTTTGATGTAGGATGTAATTTCAAGTATCCATATGCAGGCTCATTGCTCGAAGCAGTCAGCACTGCCACTTAGAAGTTATTATCATGGGGTTTACATTTCGAAAATTTCTTTTAATCTTTGAAGTCTCTCTAGGGAGGTCACTCATGTTTCTCAATGAAAAGTTGAAATAGTAACAATCTTCTGAAAATATTATATAGACAATTTCAGTATTTTTAATGACATTGATTACTTAAATATATTTCAAGTCCTAATATAAGAGTTTTGAGTTCACAGTAATGGGCTAATAGATTGCCCATAGCAATTAGTTTCTCAATGTGTAACTAACATTTTTTATTGCTTCTCTGAACCCATCCAAATTATAAGGAGAAGAAAAAATGAGAAAAAGCAGTTACTGCTCATATGCAGCCAAGACCCATAGTCACTCGCAGAAGGCTGCATAGCCACTCCTGCACTCAGGTGCAAGGCCTTATTTATTCATCCATCCATCAGCTTTAATAGTTGCTATAGTAAGTTGCAAATACCTAGAGTATTAAAATAAAATTTTGGAAATTCGTGTTAAATTATTTAGGAATTCTAGATAATCTACGAATAAAATTCTTATAATTCTAAATAATCTAAGATTACTTTTTGGAGGTGAATAAGAGAAAACATATCTGACATTGTGACTGATCAGAAAAGAGATTAAATTGATTTTCTTTGTTGTAAATCAGAATATTGAACTGTGATGGAAACTGTGAACATTAAAGAGTGTTCTTGCAAAAATTTCTAGTGAGATCAAGCCTTAATCACTCAAATTGGAAGTGTGGAGCACCAAATATTTGGGAAAACTAATATAGGTAAACATGTGAATTAGTAAAAAGTGACTCTGTTACAAATATACTTTATTGTATAAGAGAGAAATTATCACTTTAATGAATATGTATTTCTATGAGTTGTGCACAAGTAAATAATCACAGAACTACTTTTTGTGACATCTTTAAATTCTCTGTAAGACAAGCTATTGACCAAGAAAAACCTGAGGTCAATATTTTCTTCAAGGGGCAATAAGTGTCTGTGCTCACTGAAATATAGTTAACTAAATGTAAAACTACCACATGGTAAATGTAATAGGACAATCATTGGCTCTGGAAAATAAAACTGTTTCATGGTGTGCTTTTTTTCCTTTCAACTCTACTAACCTTTACAGATAAGGAACAAATAATAGTAATGAAAAGAAAAAATTTGTTTGTGGAGCACTAATGGACTTGCAAAATTACATTTTAAAAAAATTTATGGAATGTTAAAGGTCTTCTGTAATGGCAAAAAAGCTCTGACTTTATTTCTGCAATCAAGGCCTGGCTTCATTACCTCTGGCCTCTGCTTGACACTCTGCTCTATCAGCTTTTGAGAGCCCAAAATGGGAAATTACTTTCCTTTAGTGTCTGCTAAAAACTGCAGTAGTTCAGGGTGAGCTTCCTCACATCCAGGCTGCTGGAGCCAAGGGTGCCCACTCACCATGGAAATATCCATGGGTGCCTCAAACTAAACAGTAAACGTGTGGTGTCTCAAAGTTGGAGGGAAATTGCCATTGTGTTGTTTTTTCTGCCTTTAAATGTGGATTTCATTTTTATAAAAGTTTTTCACACAAATATGTGAGATTTTTACGGAAGCCTTGGACTCTGATTTTGCTGATATTCAAAGAGTTTCCAGGTTGGTTCTTCAGGTTCTGAACTCCCATCAGAGGTGAGGTTTCTAGTCTGAACTCTTACTGGAGTTACCTAGTCACTGTGATGTATATCCATGCAGTTAGCTTTGGTCCCATGAACTCCGTGACAAACACTGAAATACATCAAATATTCCCATACTCTATATTTAGTCAGTCACTGTTTATGGATACATGCTGGTTGTGGAAAGATGAAGTTTAACATTTTTGAGGCAGCAAAATAAAAAATATATTCCTGTTTCCATCAGGTGGAAGGTCTAGTTTGCCGCGCTCGCTTGGTGAGAGAGTGAAGTTTCTAAAATAACTAAGGATATCTTCAAAGGAGTAATGCAGCTGTGCTAACACAAATTAAACCAGTCCAATTTTCTATCTCTTAAGGTAGTAAAACTCTCCTTGAAATATCTCCTGCAATGAAATGATTAAATATTTGGGAGGGAAATTTGAACTCAGTTATCATAAGCCATTCTGGGAATTACCATTTCATTAAATCAGTGGGGACATGTTTGTGAGAAAGGTAAAGCAGTGGAGCTGATGTCACAGAGATATTCCCAGCTGCAGTTCTGTCTGTTTGGAACAGAACTTTTCAGATTCCAGAAGTCAGTGCTGGGGCAGCAAATTCAGAATCCTTAGAAATGCAGAGTGTTTACCCTTTCCTGTGAAAGCTGTGTGCCTTACTAAAGTAGTTACATCATTGGCCTCCTCTAGAGAGTCCAGGGTAGCTAGTTTTTGTTATTATGATGATCAGACACAAAATATTTGGAAATCTACAGTAACACCTTTGGAAGGGCAGTAAATGAAGATCTGAAAGCATCACAAGGGACATTGACACCTATATCTATAGCAGACCAAATGGTAGGAGCCCCTGACCATGGCAGAGTCTTTCATTGATGTTCAGAGTATTAATCTTAGCATGTATTGCTGGGAGCAGGGCACAGGCTTCTCCTGCCTTGGTACCCAGGCCAGAAGCCTGCAAAGCTGGGTGTGTGCATTTGTCTTATGGACTACCTCCCTATGCAGGTGCTGTATTTTCCTCTGAAAAATCAGAAAAGTCTAGCTCTGGTCTTGATATAGGTCCCACAAGGTTAATTTATTGTTCAATTAAAGGGTTAAAAATACCAGCTATCTTCCAAAAGGCCTCAGTGGTCATCTACTAATTCTTAGCACAATTACCAATTTTCATCTGCCTAAGAAAAACCTATAAATACATAAAAAACTGCTATGCTAGTTTATGGCAGTATGTGTATGTCTCACCAGGCACTGTTAAATTCCTTTTTCAACCACATGAATTCTTATTGTACGTTTACTTTTTTATGTGTTCACAAGGGCATTTAAATCTGTAAACCCAAATTAACCCATAAAGATTTGTAATGAGATTATTTCTCTCAAATTCAGCTTTTCAAAACTACAACATGTGGCAGGGCTGTCTAGACTTCCTCCTAAGTAATAAAGACAGCTATCTTTGGATGATGCCCTCATGTCATGCTATTGTGAATGCCTAAGATTGTTGAAATTATTTATCTTTTGAGGACATTTCCTACTTACTGACTAGGCAATAGCATAACACCATCAAACTACATTTTGTCTTCAGTATGAAAACGGGCCTTAAAAGACCCTGTCTTTTAAAAGATGCCTGTCCACTCCAGCCACACAACTATTTCCATGTACAATCGCCAGAGCTACAGAGATAAGAACTGCTCTGGGTCAAACATAGCTGTTCAATGGATGAAAGAAGGTACTGCTAATTTTTGTGCAGAGATATTACAGCAATACCAATAGCAGCAATTCTGTCAATACAGAAACAGAGCTAGAGAGGAGTAGAAGCACCTTAAGGCAGAGCCACAATTCATTTTAACTAACTCATTCGTAAGAATGTACCTTTTGGGTGGTTGAAATGAAATGACATTTTCATTGCTGAGTGTACCACTGTTTAGGATTACTCCTTCCCAATTCAGTGTCCCCACTGACACCCTCCCAAAGCAGATGCTTCTCACTCTCTCCTTTCCCACACCCGCCCTCCCCCTTCCTGCTCTGGGGATGGAGTTGAGCATTGGAGGCACAAAAGCTGCAAATCAGGGGTTGAGATAAGAGCAATTTACTGGAAATAGAAATGAGATAAGAAAGCTAACTGTAACTGCAGCAATATAGATAACAAAAGGTATAGACAAAGAAACCATTTACATGGAAGACATAGACAGATACCAACCAACTCATCCCCACATGCCACGACTTCTGGCACCAGAAGGCAAAGTCCTTTTTTTCCCCACCTCGGCAATGATGTAAGGTGGTATTGAGTAATATTATCAACTTGGCCGTGCCACATCCCACTGATTTGGACTGAAAGTAGGACAATTTAGCATATATATATAATTTAATAACTAAAAAAAAAAAATCTTCTGTTTCTAAACTAAAGATTGTAAAATCAGCAGCATTAAAAAATTGTTAATACATCAGTTTGGGTTTTTTCCTGCCTTGACACCTTAAATCTTTATGACTTTTCACATATGTGGATGTAGCAGGTTTAGAATTCTGTAAAATAAAAGCTAATATAATCAGCAGGACCAAAAGAAATGAAGAGCAGAAACTTCAGTTACAGAGGAGGAGAGAAGAAGAGGACAGGGATCAAAGCACAATAATTTTTATTAGATTAGCAAATAAATTATAATACAAAAGCTTTTTAGAATTGACAATTGAAAGAGGAACTGTAGAAGTCTGTAAAGTTATAATTAGTTCATCGAATTAAATCAGATAGTAAAATATTAGGTGTCACAACCTCTTCTAAAGACTGGTTCTTAAACAGCCACTTTTTATAGGACTCATTTTCTGATGAGATGAGATCCATTTCACCAAACTTTAAATATCTACTTTGTAGCATTCTACATCTGAGATAGTCTCTCTAACATCCCTTTACATCATTGATAAAAATGACAATTTAGAGTCCAATTAATCTGATTTATTTTGGTTGCCTACTTGAACATGAGATGAATAACATGCAAGAAGAGTATTTTTTTCTCCACAGATTAAAAAATAAAATCTATGGGAGAACAAGGTCAGATATTTATATCTACATTGTGGAGCTCTGAGTTTGGATAAGTTCATTTACATGGTTCACAGAATATCATCTTCATAAACATTATTTATTTCAGTTATTGGAATCACTTGGGTGAAAAATGTCTTGTCTGGAGGTAAATGATGTAATATCTGGAGGTAAATGGTAACATCTGAAAGAAAAGGGTAAAAGGACATGAAAAACTTTTGATTGAGTTTGTTGCTCGTTTTCAAGACAATTTTCTAAGAGGATTTAAAATATTTCTGCTCTGATTAAAAATTAATTGCAAAAATTCTCTATCACTAAAAGCCTATGTATTTATTCACCAGTCTTCATTTCCTGGATAAAATGAACAGGTTCCATATATGACGGAGGTAATCCTAGCAGAGCAGTGTCAGAGTTTCAGAAGGCAATGAGAACCTCAAGAAGACACTTGTGGGATATCTTTTTTAAATAATCTAATGTAGTTGGAAAGAACAGACAAAGTTCCAGCACACCATCTTGTCAAATTCCTGCCTTTTTTGTTTGTGTTGTGTCATCTCTGCTAGATGGTCTTGACAAGGTCTTGAGTAAGAGCTTGAGATACTGAGCATATGACTGCTTTTAATTGCTTAGAGAGAAAACAACTGTGATCACAGGAAAGCAGAACTTTTCTTGTGAATAATATTTTGTGCACCCTTCATCTGTGCATGTGGGGGATTTTCGTATTTTTAAGGTGAGCATTTGTGTGTCTTTTGTTCCACACATTAAGCAGCTGTCTCTTTGAGCTTTGTAGTAAAACAGATTAGTGCTTTAACAAAAATAATTTGGACGTCAGAATCAAACAGATTTCAAAACTTCCTCATACAGTATGTGTTTTTAGACCTTGTGGCTCCTTCAGACAATTCAAGTATGCAATTTATTGATATAAATATGTACATGTCATAACATGTACATGTCATAATAACATGCTCTAGGAATTTTATATAATCATGTTGAGAAACCACATCTACCCTCAGAAAATAACAGTAGCTGCAATGAGCTATCAGAAGGAGGATTGTACTGAAAGCTTCTCCATTTTTATCAAAGGATGTTGAGTTTTATGTGTATTCTTTCATATATGTTTAATTCAGTTTTTTCACAAAGGAAAAATCCTGGGGCAGTCTTCCATGGAAACCAGTGGGACTTGGCTGCCTGTTTACTGCACAAGTCAGTACTGCACAGAATTTCGTAGTGCCAGAATCAATCCACAGGTTTTTGGCCACTTGTGGATAGTCACAGAATGATGCATCTCATTGCTGCAGCTCCCTGTGACGTCTTCTGATTCTGGACTCCTGATTATCTCATTGAAAATCTGCTCGATGGTTGCTTCACCTCTTCAGTCACCGCATTTGGGATCCTGAGCAACCATACCCTAGCACAGCCAGATTCCTCTTGGGATGGCAAGGTCTTTGCCTTGTCTAGGGATCTCTTCTGTACAACCTTGAGAGGGAAACTCAGGAGAACTCTTTGAGCCAGTGGTAATTCTTAATGCAGATTACTTTTCTGGGGTTGTTTCCCTCGTGCTCCTAACTGAAATTCCAGTTGGATCAGGATATTACCTTGAACATGGTTCTGCTTTCTTTACTAATCTTTGGTATTTTTAGGACTGATACCTTGCTGCTGTAGCTTTCCTCCATCTGTATTTTATGTTCAATTAAGCGGTATTTTTTCTTGAGCCTGGTATAAAATGCCTCAAATTTTCTAGAACTGACATTAAAAATTAAGCTATTAGCATTCACAGCAAATGAAAAACAAGTTTTTATTGCCCATTCTTCAATTAGAAAAAAGTCTAACTCAAGTTCAATCTTCCTCCTTTTCTACTCAGATGCAATTCCTTTTCATTTCTGTACATACAGCATGAGTAAAGCTTTCTGCTGATTGTTTCAAGATCTTCAATCACATTCAAAAAGATACCTGAGAGAAATTTTTATTTTTGCATTTAATCCCTAAGTCTATTAAAAGAATTAATTTCCAGTGGAATGAACAGAACTCTGTAAAATCACCTTTTCAATATCAGTGACTTTTCTGATTAGCACCTAGTAAGAATAAAAGAACTTGTCAGTGCAAAACTAACAGCAGCTCTCAGTCTCTAGAGTGGTGATTCACAGGTGGTAAGAGTGACTGGAAGCTGGCTTGAAAGAGAGAGAATGAATGAAAATAGTTCAGATATACTAAGATATTCGGTGAAGATCAGTACAAAGCAAATATGCATTGTCTGATTATCTGTAAAAAAGGGAGAAAAAAATAGAGCATAGGTGTAAGTATTTTTGATTTTTATATATAAAGTTTAAATTCTGAAGATACAAGAAAAAGCAGCATCTGTAAGAAAGGTTACTTTAAAAAAATTATTTTCATCATGTTAAACTTGCATCACTCTTTTAGAATATAGGCTGGAAAATAAAGGGTTCACATAATTTCTGAGTCTCAAAGTAAAAATAATTCAGAGGAAGTTTAGGGGTGGGTTCTCATGAAGCTTAAGTTTTCTTAAGTAGTAGGAGAAACATCTTGCAAGTTTGATGAAGGCAATTCTTTTTGTGTGGGACATAAAGTCTTTCATCAAAATAGCTCATGTCATATTAAAAAAAACCCCAAAAACAAAAAAACAAACAAACAAAAAACAACAACAACAACAACAACAACAATTCAGCTGCTATTCTCATAAGAAAATTTCAGACCAGGAATATTTAGTCTCCCTTAAAAAGGAAGCAAATCAAGTGTTTCATAAAAGTAAATAAAGTAACAGTAGTGAAAATATGTGGGTTTTTTAGTCTCCCTTAAAAAGGAAGCAAATCAAGTGTTTCATAAAAGTAAATAAAGTAACAGTAGTGAAAATATGTGGGTTTTTTTGCAGTTCAAATCATATTGAAAAGTGAAATTAATTAGATGTATTTATTACATGGAAAAAAAAAATCTTATGATTAGTCATTCTAGTGATTACCACTGCAAAAAGAACCATGTAACCAAATATACTCAGCAGTTTGTTTGGAAATATGAATTTATGATTCAAAGAGTATTGTGCTCTCATTCATCAGTGGAAATTTTTCTGAATTTACTGTGATTCCAATACTTAGAGAGGAAATTCTGGTAAATATTTTAGGAGTGATAAACACAGAGTGCACCTGCTGTTCCTTCTTATATCCAACTTTCTAGACTTTTGATACAGGCATAAAAAAGAAGAGACTGCTATGGTAGCAGGAGCTATTCTTAGCTAGTCAGCACTATCTGCAGAAACAGACTGATTCACTTTGATTGCCACTCAGCAGGACTTAAGGTAGAAGTCATATGTAAATAGATGGGCTAGAAATGGATGCCTGTATTCATTAATCTTTCATTAGATCCAATCTCAAAATTACCCAAAGGTTTTACAAGGACTTTTTAAACTCTAATTTGGCCCCTGGCCTTTAAACAAAATGAAAGCTATTGATTGATGTTCTGGCCAGGATGCAAATGAGCCCATCATTTCCTGAATCAGGCTTTATTGGTTTAGATGCACTTTCATATATCTGAACAGGAAAGCTGCTTGGAGATGAAAATTTTTATAAAGCTTCATAGTAAGGTTAATGTTGTGTTAAATTATCTAATTAAATCTTAGTAAAAGCAAAGACTTATTCTATTATTTCCAGAAATTTATAAAAATGTACTTTGCTGTCCTTTAAAATGAGAAAAAGAACAACAGAAATTTAAAGACAGGAAAATACATATTTTCCAAATTAAAATTTAAAATACTACTTCTCTGTGTTTCCCAAGCCTTAAAACACAGATATCTGGACATCCAGATCTTACATTCATATTACTTATGGAGTGATCCATATTCCCAAAGTGAATTTTTCTCTGCCCTCTACCATAAGAGAAGGAAGTGTCTTCAAATTTGAAGTAGCAATATATTATCTAGATATGTTCTGTGCTGAAGATTTTTTTTTTTCCTGGGAGAACTTAGTGTTCCTTTTTCTTTGCTCCATTTTAATAGCCTAGCAGTAAAAGACCTCAGGAATCAGACTTGTATTCCCAGTTCCTTTCGGTACATGTAGGTCTAACTCTCCTTTTCTAGGGACTACCCAGCCACCAGTCTCCAGAACAATCTCATCATCAATCCATTACAGTGCAGAGAGGAGTGCAAGAGAAGCAAGTAAAACAGTTTTAGCTCCAGTTAAGGAAAGTTAAGCTTCCTGGCATCTATTTATCAACATTGGACAGAAAGTGACAGAAAGGGTCACAAACATGGATATTACAACCCTTACATCTTTTGTCTCATCTGACTATCCCAGACACCAAAGAAGAGTTAGACAGTCCCTGGGTGAAGGTTCTTTCTCATACCATGACTCTCAAGATCTTGGCTGCACAGAGACTCAGCCGAGGAAAGGAAGGTGAGCTTAGGAGAATTCGGCATGAAAGGTCATAACTAGAAAAGCTGTTTCAATAACCCTAAATTCAGATATTCAAATCTTGAATGAATGTACTCATACTTCAGGTGATAGTAGCAATCAGGCCCATAACCACATTTCAGGTATTCTCAGCAGCTTCCTCTGCACAGAACGGTTCAATTGGATTATGGGGAAGCTGGAGGTTGACTCAATATGTGTGTCAATATGCTTTGAGAAATTGCGGAAATTTCTCAAATTTGAGAATCAGAGAACACGGTTTGGGTTGTGGGAAAACCTTCTGCAGGAAGAAAGTACTGCTAGTAGCTGTTATCCAGTGATCTACTGGCGTGGCACTCCAGAAAAGCCTGGTTCCTGTTGGGATTTACAACACTGGTCAAAGACATGGCTTTCAGCTGCAGCCAATGTTACCATTAAGTCTTGCAAGAATATAATGAATCCATGAAATAAAAAAGGCATGGAATAAAACAGCAAGAAAGGCAAAGCTGAGGACATCTGTAATGGACATTTTAAGTGACAGATATATCATTGGGTCATCTCTTGGCAGGTCAAACTCAACCATATTAACTATCTTTTAAAGGCTTAATAATGGACATTATAATATGTTCGGTTTCTGAACATATACTACTACTACTACTACTACTACTACTAAAAATAATAGTAATAATAATAATTTTATATAATTATATTATATTATATTATATTATATTATATTATATTATATTATATTATATTTTTTATTATTATAACATATTATATCTCTGGTTCAAAAAAAGGATATTTACACTTGGCTGAAGTGCATTTTCACATGCCCACATTACATTATATTATATTATATTATATTATATTATATTATATTATATTATATTATATTTATTATATCTTTTTTTATTATTATTATAACATATTATATCTCTGGTTCAAAAAAAGGATATTTACACTTGGCTGAAGTGCATTTTCACATGCCCACCTTAACAGCAGCCATATGCATTCAGTTGATACCATTCAGCTTGCTCCAGCCTGGAACCCCAAGTACCTCTTCTGTCCTGTGTTCACAGGTACTGATTATTTAGGAATCATAGAGAAGCTAACAACAAGTGAAATTTTTTAATAAGTCTTCTAAAAGTAAGAAGAAGAAGAATATGAATTTGTGGAAAGGACCAGTAGGTCCTTTCAATACCAGAAGTTCAAACAGGATAAATACAAGTCCCAGTCTCTGGGAAAACAGATCTTTCAATGACACAGGCCAGGGAGTGATGTCTGGGGAGCAGATCTGCAAAAAGCAGTCCTTGGGTTCCTGGTGGGAAGTAAGATAAAAAAGCAATGACTTTGCAGAAAAAAGCCTTCCAGGCTATCTTAACAGAAGCAGAGCCAGTACACTGAGAAAAGGGTTCATCCTTCTGTTCAGCATTCTCTAGAGTATATGTGCATCTTTGGTTCCACTCTACAAAACAGTTATTGATAAATTGAACCATTCAGCATGAGGCTGTGAAGATGCTGGCATGCTGCAGCATTTGTCCTGTGAAGAGAGTCTGAAGAAGCTGGGCTTGTCCACAGAGGAAAAGAGATGGCTTTGGCCAGACCAAAGAGCAGCAACTCCTAACAGCATGGTGTGAGGAACATGGTGTGAGGAATACTGGGAAGGGAAGGAAGACAGAAGACCATGAACTGAGATTGAAGCAAGAGCTCTTCAGAGCAGATGTAAATTTTTTTTTCCCAGGAAGATGGTCCAGCTCTTGAAGAAGTTCAGTCTTGGAGATGTTGAAGACACAACTGGATAAAAACCTTAATCATCTGTGTTTGACCTCAAGAGGACCATGATTTAAGCAGAAGTTTGGATTAGAGACCTCCTGTGGTCCCATCCAACCTGACCTACCCTACAATCATAAAATCATAGAGGAGAGAGGACAATAAGAAAATAAAAGTGATCTTAAAAATGGTTTTACTTTGTTATAAATGTGGAAAGTACTACTTAGCTTCCAATAATTAAAGCACAAGTTGTTTTACTGCCCGTCCCAAGGCCAGTGGGAGTGTCAGACATTATCCACAGTAATTTTTTGCAAAATAACATACAACTTGGAACATTTAAATCTAAAGGGAGGGAAGAAAAAATAATAAGGAACAACAGATATATATATATGGAAAAGTAAGTTCTAATTATATTTTCATGGAAAATAATATCATTAACTTGCTACACTATCTGTGTCAAGGAGGTTTTGACTTTTATCTGATTATCTTAGGTTGCAATGCAAGATGTAACCAAATGTATTCTATTACCATCTGTTAAAACCAGGTGGGGCAGTGCTCTTTAACTCTTCCATGACCCATCCCTCATAACTCCAGGGGGATCTTCGGTTAATGGCCTTTGAGCCTCAGTGAATGACTGATAAATTTACATCATCCCATTGTGAGGGGGGAAACTTCACCCTTCAGGGGAAAACTACACCCTTCTACAGGACCCCTGCTTCAACAGGACCACATCTGTCACTCCAGGAAGACTGCAGCCACCATTTAATCGGACTGCTACCAACACCCTGAGCAACAGGGAGTCAGGTTGTATTCTGACTCTGCCAGTGGTTTTTGTACTACTGCAGTTTATTTTAATTTTCCTATAAAGTTGTAGGTTTGGGTTTGGGTTTTTTTACATACTAGTAAAGAACTGTTATGCTACTCCCATATCTTTGCCTGAGAGCCCCTTAATTTCAAAATTATAATAATTCAGAGGGAGGGGGTTTACATTTTCCATTTCAAGAGAGGCACTTGCCTTCCTTAGCAGATACCTGCCTTTTCAAACCTAGACACTGATAGACTACTTGGTTTTGGGGTAAGAAAATATAGACTATTTCTCACAGAAATAAGAGTAAATTCTGACCAGTTTTAGGCAGCCATCATTGGAAGCAATGATATGTTTCCCAAAGTATAAAGTAGAAATTAAATACAAAGACCTTTGTATGAGAATGGCTCAGTTATCATTTGGAAGACAACCCCAAATCAGACCAGGGAAGAGGGAGCAACAAACATTTTGTCTAATGTAGTAGCTTACCCCAGTTTACTTTTGGGTCAATTATATTTTTGCCTGAAAAAGAGAATGTTTTACTTTTCACATGTCAGTTGTTAAAAATAAAGTTAGCTGAAACTAGTCAGTGTTTTACAAGAATGGCTTTTATTGAAATCAGTTTTCTGCTGAAAAAAGTCTTACTGAAAACTTCAAGTAATTCTTTAAACACCTGGTTGAGTCTTCAGTTCCTTCAAAAGCTCCAAGAATGTGGTACATGTAGGCAACAAAACCTCAGTTCTCTATTAATATATTTTTAAATCTATGAGCATTCATTTCAGTAAAAAACAGTATTTTAAAAATTAACACAGAAAAAAGAAAGATTTTGTTTATTCAGTGCTTCAAATGGATTTTTGCTTGAAAATACTAAAAGAAAACTGCAGAACTGGAATAATATAAATCAGAGCAATTATTCCTACTGCTATTCCAAAAGAATACACACTTAGAATCACTGTAATTTAATAAACAAAACATGCACTAGAGGATACAGGGGAGCACAAAATACAATAATGGCTGATATATTGCTGGTGGTATTAAAATACTCGTAATATTCTGTCATGACATGATGCACTTTTTTTTTCCACGGATATATTTGCTATCCAGTGATCACATGCCCATTCTTTTTATCTCAGTAGGGTATTATTTAGCAGACAACTTACCTGAAATTAGATATTTTTGAAAATTTTTGTCACATGACTTTAATTTTCTTTGGATGAAAAAATGTTCTGCTGAGCAATTAAAAGCATCAGTGATGGTATGGGTCTGACCTACTCTAAATGCTAATGAGATCCAAACTGCTGCCATGAACTTCAGAGAAGGAAAAAGCCTAAAGGGACATATATAATGCTTATGAGACTGTTTCCTTTACTCTTTAACCCTCAGGTCTTACTACAATGAAAAATCACATCCAGGGACATTGACTGTTGCTCATCACAGTCATCAGATTTCCTCAGAGAGGGTGGCAGAAGCTGGTGGAGTTGGTCCCTGTCCTGTACCTGTCCTGTGGATAGCTTTGGACTGCAGAACTGTCAAGCTGGCATCTTTCCACAGTACTCAAAATTCATTTTGGCTCCTGGGTGTGTTTTTCTGTTAATCAGCTGCCAATCCATTGTATAAGTCTTTCCAGACTATTTTTTAAAAGTTTCCAGTCTAGCAAAGCAAGGCTCTATAGGCTATTTCCAGACTTGCTGTCTCAGTTGTGTTGGCAGGATCCTCTGCTGTGGACATGGAGTGGCACAAAGCCTGCTCTCAAAAGGGAGATGGGGGGAAGAGGAAAACTGAAATGTGAGTGCAGAAGGAGCTAAATTCAAAGATGTTGTCATAACCTTGAAAATGGGTAAGACCATGTGGAAACAGGATGGAGCAAAGGATAGTCAGTAGCCAAGGAAGGATTTTGCAAGCTGCTAGTTCACCCTTCCTTCCCAGTGGTGTCCTAAGGAGAAAGTGGTAATGCCACCATCTCCTTTAGTTCTGGATGCTAATCCTTCCTTGGCAGGCAATTCCAGAGACACAAGCAACAGGGAGTGAAGAGACCATTGCTTTCAGTGACAGAAAACTTAGCAGTCTGTTGGATACATCTGTGAAATTCTTGTGCTAAATACACTGCTGAGACTGAAGCAATAAATTCTTGCTTAAATAACTCTATTAAAAAGTTTCTTACAGGTGTCTAAGAACTGCCATCCCGAAAAGTAAAGGGTGACAGACAGCTTTCAATAACCCTTGCATCTTTTGGACTTTATATTATTAACAGGTTAGTATGAGTTTTTTGTATTAATCTGTTTTAAGGAAATGGATTTCTCCTCTTTTAAGAATCAGAGGGCACATTCTCTCTCACACACACCTGCACATGCATGAGTTACTCTGTTCCTTAGGAACAGAAACTACATCGACTGCATATAGCACAGAATATAAAACTTATCTAAGTTAGGCAAAGTCATATTCTGAATGTGCCTCACAGGTCTAAGTGTCAATACAATAAGATTTGTTATTTTTCATGTTCAAATAATAAAAAAGATAATTTCAAACTTTCTGTAAAAAAAAAAGAAAAAAATCAGTTTAAAGCTAGGACAGAATTTGCAGTATATCAGGTTTTAAACAGGCAGTGTGTGTAGTGGCATGTCAGGCAAACGTAGATGTATTCCAGTTCAAACAAACCTGCATTTGAACACATATAATGTCCCACATATAACATTTTGTTTGGGGAGGTCTTTACATATGACCCTATAGTTATTGGTTTGGGTTTTTCTTTTACTAAATCAAAGATCTATCACATGTTATGCTTAAAGAAAAAGTTGCACAGACTGGAAATCTTTTCCAAATGAAGGAAAAGGAAACCTCTTATAATTGCATTTTATTTGTAACATGAGGGTTGTATTCTCAGTGATAGTGAATACCACCCATAGGACACCAATTAGTTGGACAAATGAATGGGTTCAACAGAATTCAACACACATTGAATATTCCTTCTTCCTTCTGTAGCAAATATTTAAATATTTAAGGCACAAATTGTTTTGAAGTTTTAGTTGTTATTATTTGGCACACATTTTTGGTAGGGTTCTCTCTAAATAGACAGTGTGTGCCTTTCTATCTCCTCTCCAGGTAGCAGAGCAGTGCCTGCTTCATTTGATCCTTACACAGCTGATTTTCATCTGCCCCACCTGAGTAAATCTCAGCAGCAGTTTTTGTGTTCAGTCAGAGATGCCAACAGGAAATCTTTTGATCTGTGACTGAAGTGGAACAGAGCACATGTCCCG